TAGGGCGCCTAAAGAAATTTTCACAGCTTGAGCCCAGTGTAAGTAATTGGAGTTACTTAATTTCATAGTGGTAATTTGCAGTCCGACATGATCAAAATGTGGAACAGGGGACTTAATTCCAGTAGGTTCAGTGGCAACAGTTGAAGTTTCTTGCATGGAGGAATGCTGAACCAAAAATAAAACTTCAAAGAAAAAAAAACTTACCTGTCCCGAGATGAAGGAACCTGCACACACACCGACTCCCAAGTCTGTCCTGAGAAGAAATAGGTTGCACACGCACTCCCAAGTTTTTAAAAAAATAAATAAATAAAAAAACGAATTAGGAGAAGATCAGTTGTTGCTTCAACAGAGAAGGCAAGAAAATTCAGAGAAGAACCGTGCCGGGTCGGATCCAAATATGGTCGGATGTCAAATCGAGTCCGAAAACTGGGTTGAATCTAAACCGGGTCACTGAAGAAAACGGGTTCCAGTAGAACTGGTTTTGGCTGGCTTACTCCTGTAGCCAAACAGAGCTATTCTTCTTCCCAAACACCGCCGATGACGCCGGGAGCAATTCTGTAGAGTACGGCGAAGACTACAAATCTACCGCCGACCACAAATCAGTCACGCACTGCGATCTGTAAAGAAGAATAAAAGGTAGGTCGCGATCGGGACTCGGCCAACGATGACACGCGCGACGGCAAGAACACAATCACCCAACAATCAACACACAGAAAAAGGAAAAAGTGAGTCCTCTGCAATAGCGAACAGATCGGCAGTCGTCAAACGAAAAAAAATCCGGCGAAAGAACCGATGAATCTTCACGGATGGGAGCTCTGTAACTCTCCAAGCAAATTCGCAGATGGGAACTCTGTAGCCTCTGCAACTCTCCAAGCAATCACACCCACAAGCTAGTACACACCCTAGCAGTTCGGTGGCAACGACAATGATCGGATCGTTGCTCTGATAACCATACAAAGATTATTTGTTCTTGAGAGAGATAAAGATGAAGATTTGGAAAGCAATTTTCCATTAATCTGTTAAATCGATCCGAATCAATTCGATCCATGCAACTCGATTTGATTTTTTGATCTCATAATTGGATTTGAAAAATTAACAATTCGCAATGAACAATTCAGTTAATGAATTGAATCTTAAAAAATTTGTGAATTATATATAATATATATATATATATTATAATATATTATTTCTATTTATTTATTTTTTATTCATTATTTGTTTTAAAAATTCAGATATCTAACTTGGGTATTCTTAAATTGTGCCGCCTCCTAGTCTGTCTATCGATTTTCTCTTCCTCAGTTCCTCATCTCCAGAAGTAATCATAACTTCTGAAATCTTGCAAATCTCCCCAATCTCTTTCTATTTTCTCTCTCTCTTCAAAATTTCAACTTAAAAAAAGTGATACGAATATACAATAAAATAAAAACAGAGAAAGAATCGCAAACCCTAGAACTAGAAATTACCATAAGCAGAGGAAAGGGTTTTGCAGATAAAAAAAATGAAGACTCTCTGATACATATTTTATGTACTTTTCTTGTTTCTCTGGAATCTTCTGAGCTGATAAAGGTTTGGATTTTTTGTTTTTTTTTTTTTTTAATATTGTAATTTGTTGTAATCTGATCTGAGTTCTACGATTCAAATAAATGAGCTTTCATTGTGCATTTTTTTATATATGTGTATCTGTTGTAACTTGCAGTGGATGGGAGGGGCAAAATGAAAAGAATGTTTGGGATTTGTTTCTGAACTGAAATGTGATGCGATGACCATTCATTTGGCTTTTGTTGATGAATGCTTAGATCTGATTTACTTCTATTGCAGGTTCGAATCGGTGTGTATGTAGTTTAATGGTCAGAGTGGTCTATATATACACGCTGCAATTCCTAGAAAGCAAATATCAACCATAAATCTAAGTTCAAAGTCTTCCCAACCATATCAGCATTGTAGTAGTAAAAATGAAGAAAGTAGCAGAGCTGGTCTTCATCCCTGGCCCCCCAGTCGGTCACCTAGCATCGGCAGTGGAAATGGCCAACCTCCTCATCCGCCACGACGAACGGCTCTTCATTACAGTAATCGTAATGAAGGCGCGCCTTTACACCAAGACCAGTATTCATACGCAATCAATGTCTGAAGACGCAAACTCACGCATACGTTTTGTGGAACTTCCTTTCGAAGAATCAAAAAGCAAGCCCATCCACGATGTACAATTCATGAACACCCTTGTAGAAAACAACAAGACTCGAGTGAGAGATGTCACTGCCGGAATCCAAACCAATAATAGACTTGCTGGATTTGTTGTTGACCTGCTCTGCACTGGCATGATCGATGTAGCTGATGAGTTGGGGGTCCCATCCTACGTCTACTTCACATCAAGTGCTGGTTATCTTGGCCTCCTGTTTCATCTCCAGTCCATCCACGATGACCAAAACATAGACATTACTCAGTTCAAGGACTTGGATACTGAGTTGTCAGTTCCAAGTTTTACAAATTCTGTTCCGGCTAAGGTCTTGCCATCTGATGTGGAAAACCCAGATGAGCTCAGCCTGTCCATAGAAATTGCCCGAGGGTTCAGACGGACTAAGGGCATCATGGTCAACACGTTCATGGAGCTAGAATCCCATGCAGTGAAGTCCCTATCAGAACCCGGTGGGACCTGTACTCAACCTCAAGAGTGGTGAGTGGAGCCACCAATCCGATGCTATCATGAGCTGGCTCGACGATCAGCCACCATCATCGGTGGTGTTCTTGTGCTTCGGGAGTTTGGGAAGCTTCAGTAAGGAACAGGTGAAAGAGATTGCGGATGCACTAGAGTGCAGTGGCTACCGTTTCTTGTGGGCCCTGCCTCAGCCTAAACCAAAGGGAAAGGTCGAGATTCCAAAAGAATATGAGGATCCGCAAGAAGTCCTGCCGGAGGGATTCTTGGAACGGATGGCAGGGATGGGAAAAGTGATTGGTTGGGCGCCACAAGTGGCAGTGCTGTCACACCCGGCGGTGGGAGGGTTTGTGTCACATTGCGGGTGGAATTCTATGTTGGAGAGCGTATGGTGTGGAGTGCCCATGGCAGCATGGCCTCTGTACGCAGAGCAGCAAATGAATGCTTTTGAAATGGTGAGAGAGTTGGGGTTAGCAGTGGAGATCAAGATGGACTATAGGAAAGATATAATGAGAGATATCTACCCAGAGCCCTTGATGGCAGAGGAGATAGAGACTGGGATAAGAAAAGTTATGACCATCGATGAGGAAATTAGGAAGAAGGTGAATGAGATGAAAGAAAAAAGCAGAGAAGCCATGATGGAGGGTGGGTCATCCTACATTTATCTGGGAAGTCTGATTGAGGACCTAATTAAGAATATGGAGTTCCCAACTCAAAAATCCGTTGAACACGAATAAAGCTTTCTCCTCTGCACCAGACCCCTCCTCCCCTCCCCTCCGTTTTTCTCCCTGCTCCAAAGTGGGGAGGTGATGTTCTGCCTCCCACGATTGCAATAACCTCGACATGTTTCAATAAGGTAGTTCTTGTGTATTTTGTAACATCGTTTTTGTTTTTGTTAAGCTATATTTGCTCATGTTTGGTTTGTTTTCGGCTAGCATAAGTAGATCTGCGGTTTTCTCTCCTGCTAGATCTCCAATGTATGTCGGTTTTGGTTGTTCCCGACTTGATCTTATCCTTTTCTCCTTGATTTGATCTTGTACGGGATTTTAGGAGTCTTTCCTCTGTAGGAGCGCCTTGTGAATGTAACTATAGAACTGTTACTTTAATGATGACTAGACCTTTGGGTCACTTCTGTTGTTGCGCTTCTCCCTTGGTAGTTTCCGTTGCAGAGCTTTAGATCTTGTTTTCTATAAATCTGAAGTCTGTTCTTTATTTTTCTTGTTTTGTTTTAAGATTTGTATGCCTTTTCTAACTTGACTTTTGTTTCTGTACCTCTGTTGATGGTTTGGCCTTTGTGCCTTTGCAATGATAAAAATAAAAAATAAAAAATAGAAAATCTCTTTGTGTAACGTATAAAAAATCTCAATTTTTTCTATATCACTATATCTTTAGTTAGACAATCTTCTAAGATCGAAGTTCATGAAATTTCCATTTATTGTTGTTTTTGGTAAAATCCCAAGACTAAACTCTAATCATGGTTATTTTTCTTGTGAAAAAGAAAAAAATCACTATTGTTTTATTGTTTTATTTTTATCCAAATATTTAATCCTTTTATTTTTCCGATACTACTATTCTTTTTCTCTTTTGGTTGATGTGAAACTATAACCCCGATTTGCTCTAATTTGCACCACCTCAATGTATTAAAAAATAAATAAATGAACAGATTTAAAAATAGAGATTAGAGAGGACAAAGATTTGAATCTGCCATCATGTATAAAAAATCACGCAATATCCCAAAAGATGAGTCGTGTATATTCCCCATGCATAGATTTGGAGAGCCAGGGGAGCAAGAGATCAAGAGACAGAAAGGAGAGAAAATTTGCGTTATTGGGTCTATGTTATTTTATTTATTTATTTTTTTTTAAGGAAACTCCATTTTCGATCTCCTTAAAAGTTTGTTGTTCACCAAGTACGCATCTCTAAACCTTCCTAATCTAATTGCATAAAAGGAGAGCTCGTCAATACACCCAAGAGAGCCTCCCTTAATAGCACTACTCGATCCTAAATCAAGAAAATATGATTTAGGTGACCGATCAAAAGATTGAAAAAGAGAAAATAGTTTTCATCACTGGCAATCACTAAATAATGTGAGTTCTCAAAGTAGCTGGGGAAAAAGCTTTGTTGAGTTTACTACTTGAGTTGGACAGTTCTCCCATGTTATTCATTATCTAAATAATGCGAGGAGTTTTCAAAGTAGCTGGGGAAAAAGCTTTTTTGAGTTTACTACTTGAGTTGGACACTTCTCCCATGTGATTCATTATCTATAGATAAACGGAGACCATTTATTTAATGCTATGCGAAGTTGTTGGAATTATATGTATGTACTGTTGAGAGAATTGAGTTAAGAGACAAAAAGTAAATTTTTTTTTTTTTTTTTTTTTTTTTTTCAAAAAAACAAACTTATTCACATAAAAATTCCCCACAAATAATTGAATGTCTTCTACTGGAAGTATTTTAGGAGGCGTAAAAGAAAATTGAGTAGAAAAATATGAACAAAAGTAGAAATGGGGATAATTTTTGGAGCCATGCAACTAAACCTCCTATTGTCCCAAATTGTTAGGAATCTAAACTGTACCTCAAAGCAGGGGACAAACCAAAAATATCTAGCCATGCTCTTGACTGCCATCCATGAACTTGAGGGACTATAAACATAACCCATATTCAAATAGATTCATAAAAATCGATCGTTTGGGCTCATAATATATTCAAAGTTGCTCCTTCTACTCAGCCTTGAGCATTGTACAAGGATGTTCTGTAGGCCATGCCCCCCTCATTATAATCACGGGAAATAGAATCCCATGCTACCCAGGCAGTAGAAGAATGTTCCACATCATTGATCACAAAACCTATAAGAATGTTCAAAAATAACTCTAGGTTTTTGAGCTTGTACTTATATATCCAACACTGTAAGAGTTATTATTGTACATGAATCAACAAAATCTTAAATGATTTTTGGCATAACAATGTATCCTCTAGGCTATGGAGATTTGTCAAATCTAACGCATACTAATAAAATGACGCAATTTTCTAATGTCTTGTTGATAGATCAAGGATTTATGATGTATGGATCAAAGTACACTGGAGTATTAGAGGTAGATAGAAAAGCAAGGATATGGGCTCGCGTGAGAAGGAAACAAAATATATCTATTCTAGTTCTATTCCCATTTACCATCATTGGAATGGACATTTATTTGATAGAAATATATAGTAGCCAGAATTATGTGGGTCCAAGTCAAAACGATGCCTTGATGCCAGTTCCGCAAGCTCAACATTGACATGCAACCCCAAACTCATCTTCCAGTAGCACACTAGAAACCCCAAAACTCATCTTCCATAATACCCACCTGACCACCAACATCACAACGAAAACCCCAAGAAGCATTTTCTGTCTCTCTTAATATACAATATGTACTACCATAGGTTCTTAGAAAATTAAGATTAGCTTTTTATTAAACCAAAGTTCATAAGGTGTCTTATTTGTGTAAAACAACAGTGAAGCAATTGAACCTGGATTGTAACCATCAAGAAGGAAAGACAGTATAAAAACCAAGTGTAAAAAAAATAAATAAATAAATAAAAAATTGACAGACAAAATAAATAAATACATAAATTGAACTAAAGACGACTTTAGCATCGTGCAACTGAACTTCCTATTGTCCCTTGCCTTAAATCTGGGAACAAATAAAAAAACATGAAGTGACATTCTTGACTCCCAAAAAATTGAGGGATTATAAACATAATCCACACTCAAATAAATTCCAAGTAAAACTACAGTGGCTTAACACGTGCTGCACAGAAGCAAATTATATATATATATATATATATATATATATATATATATATATTCCTAAATTTATATATTTTTTTTATAAGTAAAGATTTCATAAAAGGTGCCCAAAAGGGGAGCGGCTCCCAAAAAAAACATAAACCGAACACAATAGCACTCTAACCATGGGCAGAGCTGCAATGGTTTGGACGGGGGGCCACCCCTAAACTTTTTTAATTTTTTATTACTATCACTACAAAAAAAACAGCTTTTTACCATGGTGGAAAACGCTTTCTATCACAATTTTGAACCGTGGTAGAAACTGCCGTGGTCATAAGTAGAAGGCGGTCTACCACAGTACAAAAACATGGTAGAAAGTGTGATATTATTTTTTTAAAAAAATTGTGCACAACCCCTATGAGGCCTTTTTTTTTTTTTTTTTTTTTTTTTGGCCCTACTACTAGCCTTGCAAGGACCCAAGCAGCAAACCCTATAAATAAAAAATAGCATTATAACCAAAATAACTTACAACTAGCTAATAACATCATATATATATAAATAACCAATTCCAAATCATGATTTTATACAAAAATATATACAAATTTCAAAAAAGTACATGATCCACAAGCTTATATCTTTACTTAACCAAAATGAAACAAAAATTATTTATATCTTCTTGCTCTGTTTTAGTCTCTCTCTTCTATATATGCAACTTCTTGATCATGAGCCATACAAAAAATAATTCGGCAACAAAAAAATTAATGGGAACCGCAATCCCGCAATCCTAGCTTTGACCTACAAACTGTAATAGTTAAAGTAAGAGAATGTAAAACAAGTAGTAAAGTTGCCAAAATTATATATATTGAGTTTTTAGGCTCTTATAAATGTGGAAGACCTAAAGTAAAATGTATGTATTAAGATTGGGGGTATTATGATGTATCCGTCTTTCTTCCATTGATATCAAATCATATTAGTTGTGTGCCTTTTTTCCTTCAAGGGTCAATTCAGAGCTTCCAGTGTTTGATAAAACTAAAAAATTGAAAGACAAAAAGTTAATTGTTGTCAAATCTTCCAATGATATGCAATTCTATAATTGTTTGAATGGAGATATTCCCAGCAAGGAATCTAATAGTTTTACCCTGATTTATTATTATTTTTGCTTTATTATAAATTGTACCAGACGACATTCAATCAATCATTGAGGCTTCCTTTGTTGTGTCAACCCAAGCTACAACACAATTATCAAAAGCCAAAAGTGTGAAATCTAGAGAAAAATGACATGAGATCATCATCAAAAAATATTGATACTGAAGTTAGATGTAGCTCAAAAGAAATTCTAGAGTTCAAAAGGGACTACCCAATTTTTGAAGCAAACATAAACAAGTATCATAATGATAGTGAAAAATCAAGTAACAAGAACATACATGATTATCTTCCAAGTAATTATGATAGTTTTTTAAACAAAGATTATTCTCAAAATATGAAGAATCACACTTACTCATTCACTATAAGTAATAATAGAACTTTTAGGTTTATCTTAAATTTGAAGAACATGATGAAAATTGCAATTATCATAATGGATCATATGATAATGACTTATTATCTTCTAAGAAATTCTGATAGTTTATTAAAGGAAGATTATTCTAAAAATTTGAAGAATCACACTAACTCATTCACTATACGTCATCATAGAACTTCTAGGTTTCATCTTAAATTTGAAGAACATGATGAAGATTGGAACTATAATGACATATATGCTGCAACTGTAGATCAAGAATTCAAATCAAACAATCACCATACAAAAAATAAAGATAATGAGGTAACAACTAAAGGGATTTCTATCGTCCACTTCCAACTCCTATTGATAAAGTAGCAATCAGTGTTCAAGATGTAGAATTAATTGGTCCAGTTATGGTACTCCCTACTTCTGTTTCACAATTTTTTATTATTTAATATAATTATCTTAAGGGACGGTTAGGAAGTAATGCTGGGCAAAGCTTTGGCACCAAGATGAAATTTAATGGGATATTTACATTTTAAATGAACTTTTGTACCTGTCACTATTAGACATTGATGAATGATTCATGTCTGCAACGAACACATAAGAAGAGGTCTCTTTAATAGTCATATATTGTGTACATGGGAGGTCATTCACATGGCCCAAAAATGACAGAGACAACTCTTAGCAAGGTCTCAGAATCTCACTACCAGTTTCTTGGATCATTCATGGAAAGGTACATATGAGTTTTAAGTAAGTATTTTGATTAATGGTCTTTCTATTTTGACATTATTACTAGGGTAAAGTGCACTATACAGAAAATATGCAAATATATATGCAATTCTATAATTGTTTGAGTGGAGATATTCCCAGCAAGGAATCTAATAGTTTTACCCTGATTTATTATTTTTTTTGCTTTATTATAAATTGTACCAGACGACATTCAATCAATCATTGAGGCTTCCTTTGCTGTGTCAACCCAAGCTACAACACAATAATTAAAAGCCAAAAGTGTGAAATCTAGATCCTCATGGGTGAGTAAAACTATCTTTATATTCTAATATTTGTTTTAAGCTTTATTGTGAAACAACTCTTTATCAGTTTAAATTTCTACACGATCAGGAAATTGTCTATCAGGATACAACATATTGTTCCTATCTTCATTCATTAAATCTCCATGTTCGTTAAGATTTTGGCATCTAGCTACTTGGTTGTGTTAATTGGTATGACATATTACAGTATAACCTGTATAAAACAATAGCATTAGGACCACATAAATTTTAATTAAGGCAGATATTAATTAATTTAAGGATACATTTTAGGTGCATTATTTATTTATTTTAAAACATTTAATTTCTCAATAGTTTTAAAGATTCAATACATTGTACTCATTTAATCAATTAAGATTCAATGTATTGTACTCATCTAAATAATTTAACCAACTAATGATTCAATGTGTTTTTTTTTTTTTTTTTTGGCAAAGGGGATAATTTTAGAACACGATTACATTTGGAAGAAACACGCAAAGAAAGTTGAAAACACAATAAGCCTCTACTTGCTAACTTCCTATGCAATGCTACAAGGATAAGACTTGGATCCTTTACATGACCGCGACATGCTATCCATGTACTGGTGCAAAAGTTAGAGTGGGGCATAAAGCGACTCACAGCATCCAAGAGGCAAACTATGGCAACCACCTCAAAATAAAGTAACATAAACAAAACAGTTGGCCCTTGCAAACACCAGTTCAACCCAAATTTATATTGAATAATTGAAGAAATTACTTAGCTGTATAAGGGCCTTCAGCTTGTTCAAGACTCAAGTTCAACCCAAATTTACCAATTACGCTTTCAAAGCTTGCAAAGGGAGATCCTGTTTCAGTCATTATCTTCACAAACATTTAAAACTAAAATACATAAAATAATAAAAAAAGATCGTAAAAAAATTTCACCAAATAGGATTTAGTTTGCAAAACAAGAATTACAGACCCTGATTGATTGATTTAGAAAAAAATAAACAAATAAATAAATAAATAAATAAACCCATACATACAAGTTAGCAGTTGCAGAGAGAGGGGCTTGAGAGTTGAGAGACAGAGGGCCAGCGGCTGAAGAGATAGATAAACTGAATTATATGGGTGGTTTTCAACTTCTAATTCTTGTAGATTTTGTAGTTTGCAGTTGCAGAGAGAGAGAGAGGTCAAGTTCAGAATCGAGAACGAGAATAGAGTTGGAGGCGATTGGGGAGGCTGAAATGATTTGCCCTGAAAATATTTATATTGAATAATTGAAGAAATTACTTACCTGTATAACCTTCAGATTGTTCAAGACTCAAGTTCAACCCAAATTTACCAATTACTCTTTCAAAGCCTGCAAAAGGAGATCCTGTTTCAGTCATTATCTTCACAAACATTTATAACTAAAATTCATAAAATAATAAAAAAGATCGTAAAAAAATTTCACCAAATAGGATTTAGTTTGCAAAACAAGAATTACAGACCTTGATTAATTGATTTAGAAAAAATATATATATATAAAAACAAAACCCATACATACAAGTTAGCAGTTGCAGAGAGAGGGCTTGAGAGTTGAGAGACAGCGGGACAGAGGCTGAAGCTTGAGAACGTCAAACCCGAACTGGAACAGCAGGCGACGGAAACTGAAGGATATGGGTTTTGATTTTTTGAACAATCTGAAATGATATGCCGATATGGGTTCTGATTCTTGTAGATTTTGTACTTTGCAGTTGCAGAGACAGAGGGAGGGCCGAGTCGCGAACGAGAATAGAGATGGAGGGGATAGGGGGAGGCTGAAATGATTTGCCCTAAAATATTGTTAAGTGTTTGGACTGTACGCGTGAGTAAATATATTTTTGTATATAAAATATATATATTTTTAAATTTTTTTAAAGAAACTAGCGGGAGTAAGGTCCTGTGTATAGGCGAGTGAAACTAAATTCACTTTCTACTAAGGTGCTTTTTCAACCATAATTAATAGAAAATCATGGTAGTAATTTATTCTACCACGGTATAGGCACCCACTTTCTACCACAGTTAACCGTGATAAAAAAAATAATTACTAGCACGGTTTTTAATTAACCGTGGTGAAATAAATTCATTTTTTATTACGGTTATATATAACCGTGGTAGAAAATATATTTTTTACCACGATTATTTTAAAATCGTGGTAGAAAGTGTATGGTAAAAAACTGTTTTTCTTGTAGTGTATCCCTAAATATTAATTAATTTGTAAATTTTGTCCCTAAACCTATTAAAAATTTCCAAGATTCCATGTCATGTGCATGTGCTAAGTGCTAACTAACCCCATTTTTTATGCTAAAGGTCACCTGGTTATACATTCAAGATTCATTGATTTGCTAAATAGTCTGAAAACTAGATTTGACCGACATTGGACATTTTAAGAGGCAAGTGTAACGACCTGAACTCATAGGCCCGAATCGTTAATCGGGTCTTTACCTGAACTCGAAGTCACTTAAGGGCACCATCGTCAATTTACTTGTCAAGACACCTTCAACTCACAATTACAACTCATTACATGTACTAGAAAACTACTGCAAGACATAGGAATAGTTCTAAAAATGGTGGAACAAGGGTAATGAAAGGTTCGGCAATCCGGTCGTCCGAAGTGGGACTTCGGTCGTCCGGAACACCCATTCTGGTCGTTCGAAGTGAACCCACCAGTCGACCGGTTGTGATTCTGAAAGCCACATGGCTACTGGAATTGTCCAGCGTTTCAACCAGTCATCCGGAATGACCATTTCGATAGTCCGGAATGACCCTGCGAGATGGGAAAATGCAGTTGAGCTGATATGAACTTCATGATGAAAGATGGTCTCAATAAAGATCATGAAACTAGTTCAAAACTTGTCTGAACACATCCCAAACATGACACCACATCCCATTCATTCAAAATACAAAATTTACATAACCTTTACATAGCCCCAAAAATCATTTACATGAAAATGAACATTTATACATCAAGTGGTTCAGATTTTTTATATCACAAAACCACAAATTGAAAGCTATACAAAATGACCACCGAGTTCTACAAAAATACATGGCATATACTTCCATACAACAGATCACTAGATACGATTTCCAATCCAGTCAAAGCCTGTGGTGGATTATTATCCGCCACCTCCTTCTCGTGTCCTGAAATTATTGAAAATAAGGGTGAGCGTAAAGTTCAGTAAAAGTCACCTAAGGCGTTAGTTTTGGACTCCCTTGAGCCAACCCATATTTTTTGAAATCCGCTAACTGACTTTACCTAGGCAAAATTGATAACTATCCCCGGTTCTAATTCTAGCAAAGCCTGGCAACCGTTAAAGGGCCTAGTATTAACTTTTTCATGCCATAAACCGGGCGCACTCCCTCTAGGTCAAGTTAGCTCCGGACTCACGAAATTCAGTTCATTTTTTTTTTTTTTTTTTAAAAAAAAAAAACACTTTCCCTTCCTTAAAAGAAACTCCACTTTTTAAGAAAACAAACTTTCCTTTCAAATTTCCTCTAAATCCCCTTTCTATGCCATGGTATACAATGTAATGATTTTCAACCTTAAATAATAAGTTCATCACTATTACACTAACAATATCATCAATTCATCTTATAAAAGTCAATTAAAATCCATGACATACTTAAAAGATCAACACAACAAAGACATCATTTTCTCAAATAAGGCATGTTCAAGAATTCTCATAACTTTTCATATAACAAGGTTAAATAAGCCATTAATCCAAGATTGAAACAACTTATAATTTACACATATAGACATTCACAACTCAGCAATTTTTATGTAAAATTTCATGATTCATAACATATAACAAATATACTAGAAATATACTCAATTAAAAGGCAAAACTCCACACATTAGAAAGACTGCTACCTCCAATTGAAGAGCAAACCAAAGCAAGCCAAATTCAGCCCCAGACAACCTAAAATTTGAAATCCCAAAAGTGGCCAATTGAAATCAGCTCCTATCAAAACGATGTCCTCAACGAGCTTGTCAACTTTGCCATGAAAGGCAAAGTTGAAATCTTAAAGCAAGATGATGTAATCAACCTTTAAAGCTTGAAATCAAGATAGAGAAACTTTTTGAGAGAGAGAAGATGCATCTGCCGCCAAATGGAGGATAAGAAGTAAAAAAAAAAAAAAAAAAGTGACCATGTGGTCATTAGACAATAGTTACAATAGTGGTGGGTCCCATGACCATTAAAAAAAATCAACCTCCACTAACATTCATATATACATTAACCAATAATAGTCACAAGTAAGCATGTCATCACATAAAACACATTAAATAATTATGCATGAAATGCTATGGACCCGAAAATAAAATTCTCGTTCACTCAGCACTCCCCACAGTGTCCGGCATGCAAAACAAAAAAAAGATAAAAATACCCCAGAAATTCAGAATCCTAGAAAATGAAAAATGGGAAAAACTGAAAACATTACAGCAAGGCCAATTATTTTAATTAAGCCATTTCCTCCCCTCTCCCCTTAATTTTCTTTTTCCTTTTTTTTTTTTTTTTTTTGGCCAAGTAATTAACCCTCACATACTTATTTTAAAATTTTCAAGAAATATAAATAGCGTATAAATATAAAAATTATTACATTGTCTTGACTAATCACAGACCTAACACACAAGTAAACAATAAATACTAACAATATACGTATAGGCATAAATTTATCTATATAATTTAAGATATATATATATATATATATATATATATATATATATATATATATCTGACTATCCTATAATAATATTAATACTAATGTTAATAATAATAATAATAATAATAATAGAATACTATCCTTATATACATATTTATCCACACACACACACACACACACATCTATATATATAACTATCCATGGGTAATCCTCCATACCCATCAAGCCTCCTATCTAAGAAGTCAATAGGACCCATTGGGTTGGTCCATTACTACTGTCCAAATTCAACTTCTTTAAAATTTTAAAATAATAATAATAAAATAATTAAAACATTTAATCCTAACAATTAAATAGAACTAATTTCACATCAATTAAGCAAATAATTTTATAACAACAAATTAATTAAAATACACCATTTAAGCACATAATTAATTTAAATAAACAATTCAATTAAAACACATAAACAATTAGCCACATAATCAAATAGTTAAATAAAAAGGAAAAAAATAATTAAATAAATTCTAAAACTATCATTTTAAAATTAGGGGCATTACAAATACACAAGCAAGAAAATACATCATTATAACATATAGAAATCCATTAAAAATCAGATCTAAGCCATGAATTTATCAATTCATACTACAAGAACAACCAGAACATAAACCCATAAAAACTTATGTTCTAGATCAATTTAAACATGGATTCCAATTTTAATAATATTTTAAACATCCCTAAAGTTATACTAGAGACATATAGATCACAGATGTAAGAGAGAAGTGTAGAACAGAGAACTTGCCTTAAACTTTCAGATCGAAAGTTAAACTCATTCTTCCTTACTATTCCTCTCTATTGGTCCTTCTTCTTTGTCTTCTTCTTCCTTCTTTCTCTTCCTCTTTCTCTCTCTAGCTTTCTCTTTTCTCTTTCTAGATCTACTTTCTAAGTATATATATATATAGATAAAATAAACTACCTATTCTTCTAAACCTAACATACGTCTGACAATTCCAACTAAGTAACTAATTTAATAAAATATTATTTTTAATGAAAGTAATATAGATATATATATACACCTCATTATATATATATATATATATATATATATATATATAAGGACAATACTTGCCTACCAATCGATGAATAGAAAAATCATGCTTACCATTCATGTGGCTCAACAACATAGTGGCAAGTGTCCCTCTAATAAAAAATAAAAAAATAAAAGATTTGAAAATTTATTAGGTTAAAACCAATAAAATCTAAATCAAATCCTAATTTGATTATTCTCTTTCTCATAAAATCCAAATCAAACCCAAAAAAAATTATGTAGAAGGAATTGAATTAAACTTTTTAATGATGGTTAGACTTAAGAGATCAATTGTAAACATAGCCACTCCCTGCTAAAGTATTTGCATTAAAATAGACTTATTAACATTATTCAAATAAATAAAAGAAAGTATTTAGTCATGATTTGGTATAAAAATAAAATCTGTTTTCTTAAGAATTCTTTTAAGTTGATTAATTATAAGACAATCATACATTCATATTTATTTTCACTTGTGGGACAAGACCTCATTAACAAGTGCAAGCATCTACCTTTAAACAAACAATTTGGTTTTTCTTTTTCCTAATTTCTTTCCTTGTCAACAAGAAGGCAACGAAGGGCTAAACAGCATAAGCCACGCTTCAAAAGAATATCAAATATATATTTATATATATTGGTTCACACATGAATTCTTATCACCTACAATAAAAAATCCTAATCCATTTCCTTCCATGGATTTGATTTGAGCAAGATACTTGTAGTTGCGATTCCTTATGGCTTACAGATTAGGGCAATATAGTAGCATAAGAAAAAGATAGTCGGATATGGGTTTGATTTGGATCATATTGGATTTAACCCAAATAACTTCTTAAATCTTTTATTATTATTATTATTTTTACATTGTAGAACACTTGTCATTTTGTTGTTGCGCCACATCGATGGTAAGCATGAACTTCCTACTCACCAGTGAGTAGGCAAGTATTGTCCTATATATAAATACTAATCCCCATGTGTCACTATCCAACCCATTTAGGATCTCACTCAAATAGTCCAAGACCTATCTAGTTAGTTCATGGGATATAACCCAAATCATTTAAAATAAAATAAAAAT